CCATTCTACATAATTGGAAAGTTCATCTCTTATCAAAGTTAAATATTTCATGCCTCAAAGCTCCATTGGAATAGAAATTAAATTAATCACCTATTAAAAATGAATAGCAAGTAGATAGGTAGGACATAAACCATCTCTATACCTTACCTTAGGTTGTAATTGATACTCTTTACAAGAGCTTACAAATTCTTCTATATCTTTATATAAGTCCTTCTACCAATAGTACTCCTTGATCTTTGTGTAGGTAGTCCAAACTTCTCTATGGCTAGTCCACAATATATCATGAAATTGACCTAATATCTTACTATTCAACACTCTCTATTAATATCAATATTGATGGGCCACAATTTTCTATATAATAGCTTAATTTGCATCAACATCTAGTACAAAAATAAATTTTTTTCTTCTTAAAGAAATACAATCTTAATTATAGCATATGTATTAAAATTTGTGACATCCACAACATATAGTACGGTATCGTAATACGTGAAGTCTTGCTTGAGAATACTCCAGGCACTTAGATGTGGAAAGAAGAATAGAAATTGAAATAACAAAATCCTATTTCTAATTGAATACTAACAATGCTCTAATTAGACCATAATAATGCTAAGCAAGCTTAATCAAATTCAAAAAACCTCAAAGAAATTTCAAACAAACAATAAGAATTCTTAAAGAAATATTAGAAGGATCACAAATATCACTCAAATACATCTCAATTCAATCTTATTTAATTCTAGTTAAAATCCTATTGAACTTCATTCAAACTTTAGGCCAAAACTAATTGAATCTTAAATCCTAATAAAATCCTAAATTCTAAATCAAATCCTAAACAAACCTTAAATCAAATCCCAACCAAACCCTAAACCCTAACCAAATCCTAATCCGAATCCTAAATCCTAAACCAAATCCTAATCCAAATCCTAAACCCTAAACCAAACCCTAACCAAACCCTAACCAAATCCTAAATCCTAAACCAAATCCTAACCAAACCCTAGAAATTCCTATAAAAAATTTAAACCTCAATAACTAATGAATAAACCATTGATCTTAACTCAAATTTTTCACACTTCTAAAACAATAAGTTAAAAACAAGCACAAAAAAATTGAAAAGGATCGGAGTTACCAAATTGACGATAACCTCAAAAATGTGCTCGGGTATTGGCCAGCCTCCTTCTCCAATCTTAATGCCAATCTTCCAGAGCCAATATCTCTTCTTTGCATAGTTCGATTGATCTCAAAATTTTCATACACATAGAAAATCAAGTCAAATATCCTCTCATGTAAGTTTCACTCCAATTCAACCAATAAATTGCATGAAATCTTAAAAACCTCTACTAGACCTAAAATTCTACTTTCTGAGACCTTGACCCTGTTAAACCTCAATATTCCTCAATTCAACCGTTAGATCGAGCTCAAATTCACAAAATATATTAAACACAACTATAACCATAAACCTAAAAAATTTCATCCATAGATCTTTTACAAAACTCTTAAAATCACCCAAATCGTAAATCCTGTTTTATTTCATAAAACCCAAGTCATCCAAAACAAACCTTGACTTTGCAAAGCTCTTACAAAGTCATATCAACTCCAAATCACCCAAAATTAATGCCTATAGAAACCTTATTCAATCTTCTCTCAAACCCCACTCTTTGTTCTGCCAAAGAATCCTAAAGTCGTTGTCAAGACTCGGTTTTGTGCCCTAGGGTCTGTTTTCGACCCAGGTTCATAACCAGCCCTCTTCGAGTATCAACATCTAGTTTTTTTTAGTAATTTTTACTAGAATTTACTCTTAACTTCCTCCTAAAGATTTCTATATCATTTATTTTTCCAATCTACCTTATTTTGCCTTATTTTTGGCCTTACAAAGTAAGTAGAAGCTTTTTTTTCTAAAAGGGCAGCATTACTACTAAAAAGTTTACTACCTTCCTATCTTTTATCCATATTTTTCTACTTTTTCTTTTAACTTGGCTCTTCTATAATAAGATCCATATTATCATCTTTTACCATATAGTCATGTTACAACACGACAACGGACATCTTAAACTTATTTTTTTTATATATATAATCCATAATTACATTATATAGATGCCTTTTTGAAAGTTATATACATCCAAGATGAGAAAAAATAAGACAACTAATCTTGTTTATTTCATCACATTTATAGGCATAATAATATGAAACATCATGAAGATTTTCTATCAATAAATGAATAGGTGAACAACCATAAAGATTAGCTATATAAACCTATTCGTGTTCATTATACATAAAGAGTGCAATTCTTAGATTTATAGAGTCTTTTTTGTGTAAAGTAATAACAACATCCCTCTAAGCTATGTTTGTAGCAAGTATCTAAGCTCTTAAAGCTTTATGTATAGATTAGATGCAATGAACAATTAAATGTTATGCCAATGATGCTAAGGGACTATAGTTATAACTTCTACTTTGAACTGGCAAATGCTAGCATTTGTCGATATACAAACAATGAGTTAATAATTCAAATAGATACTTTGTCAATTGTATAGCTAAACTACATTAATATGAATATGCTTTAGACCAACTATAAGTACAATCTTTATTACACTTAAAGATAGTATGGCCCCTATTAAAGCAACATCAACAAATTACATAATCTTTGGTATGAAAAAATTGATCTAAGCATATCTTTAATTCTTTATATGTATCAAATAATATTTTTAATAAATATTCTATATTTAATGTATTTTTTATTTTAGAATGGAAGAATTCTAAAATATCTATTACTTCTATCTTTAGATAAAAGATAATATAAATAAAAGTCTTAAAATTAAGATTATAAAAGTGGAAGGTCATAAAAAATATTCTAATTTTAGAGTAGAAATAAATTAGCTTACTTGAATATTATAAAGCTATTATTATTTATTATAGCTAATAAATTTGAGTTATTTTATTAGTTATACTTCTATAAATGTATTTTATTTATATACATATTTATCATTACTAATCCAATTACAAAAAAAATAATATTTATTGTGACATATTGCACCTTGCTAATTTAATTTTTAATTTAATATTTATACTAACATTCCTATCATTGGATAATGTTGTTGTTTCCATTCAATTTAATGATCAATGGATTGAAATAAAGGTAAATTAATTTAATTTAATATATATATATATATATATATATACATACATATATACATAGATACATAGTGTTGAAATGTTTTTATATAGGTTCAAATAACACCACTAACTATTTTATCGTATTGTGTTTGTTTTTTAGAAGATAATCAATCATAATTTTTTATTTAAAAAATAAGTCAAATTTATTTATTTTAGAGATTCAATATTTCTTAAAATAAAAAATAATGTATTTTATTTTATAAGTTCTTATTAAAATCCAAAGATATATATATATATATATATTTGAAATAATTTCAAATGAATAAATTTATTTATTCATTTAAATAATATTATGAATAAAAATATCTATTTTTTTATTTAAAATGATTTTAAATAAATAAATATAATAAATCTTTTTAAATTTTAAATAAAGAAGATTTAAAAAAAATAACTCAAAATCCTATCAAATGCATGAATTTATACAAATAGTTACTAATATATAAACAAATTCATAAATAGATATATGGCTAGTTGGATAAACAAAAAAGAACAAATAAATAACTTGAATTTTAAAGTATAAGATATTGATGCTTATAATATTTTTTTAAATTTAAATATATTTTTAAAAACTATGTTTACTATAGTATAAAATATTTTTTATGTTTTTTTATGAATTTTTAAAATTTTAATTTATTTATGGATTTATTATTTAAAATTATGGTTTTTTATTTTATAATTAATTTTAAATAATCAAACCATATTATTAATTTTAAATTATAAATTGATACTATTAAATATAAATTATTTAAATTGAAAACATACTTAAAAGTTTAAAATTTTATACACTTGATCTATGTATTTATTCATATATTTTATTTTAAAAAAATAATGCTTTATTTTAAAAATTAAATTTGTGTCATTTTAATATTTTTATTATTATTTATAAATACGTTTTTGTAAAAAATGAAATTTTCTTGTAACTCTTACCTTTAATTTTGAAAAAGCCTACATATTTTTTTTTGAAAAAAGAATTACATGTATTAAAACCAATTGTTCACAACTAATTTCCATTAGTCATATGTTTTAATAAAAATAATATACCCCAAATTGACCTAGAATTCATAATCAATCAATGTTTTTTTTTTTTTTTTAATCACACAAATCTTTAAACTCTATTTTAATTTTTTGGATAACATTTATTTGATGACTGTGTATAAAAAGCTTTCAGTGAAGTCCTGAGATTGTTCCTTCTTGTATTTATTTAATTATCTAACAAGATTTTCTTACAATACATGTTGTAATAATATATAAATATTTATATTTATATATATATATATATATATATATATGCATTTATATTCTTTACACTTGGAATTCAATATTTTTCCTATTATTTAAAAAGTAGGCTCTTCCTTGATTAATGCTGGATTTTTCCCCTAACAGTGTTATTTTTTTTCTTTTTTCTTTTTTCTTTTCAAAAGACATGCAGTCGAGAAAATCGTCATGAAATTCCTATTCTGGGATTCCAAGTGTTTTTTAGTGTAAATTTATCATTTTCATTTGACGTGCACCTTCCAACATGTTTTTCATCTACATACAATTTCTTTTATGTGCTTTTTGCAGTCGGCTTTCTTTTTAGGTAGAACATTTTTCGCTGCTTCCATGCCGAGGAGAAGATAAATGTCCGTTTCTCTACACATTACTACCAATTCTGTGAATGGCTCTTGCATTTACAAAACAGCCTCACATTGAGGCTCACCAACATGGGTATGCAAAAATTCACCATTGCAGAATTTAACATCACACATCCTCTGGAATCTCTCCACAAATTCCATTGCACTTGTTCCCAAAACAAAAGATGCATTGATCAAAGCTAGTGGTGATGTATCATCAAATACAGACGAATGGAAGGCTGCTATACTCAACACTTTTCATTTGAATCCTTTTCTTCATCTAATCTGGATATAGAATTACAGGAACCGTAGGTAGATGGCTAAACAGATAGATAGATAGATATATGTATCATGGCTGTTGTATATAATCTGGTTTGCTAAACACCGAATCCACAATTGATCAAGTTGTGGTCATGAAATTCTCACTGATCAAAACACATGGGTAGTTGCGCTTCTTCAGATCAGCCTCCACAAAGGGTCGCGTTGCAGGGTCCCTGAATAGATCTTGGTCGGAGGTCATTATGCCGCGGCCCCAGACGATGTTCCTGAAGTCCTGGGTGTCGAAAAGGTTGCACGTGTAGCGGTCGATCTGCAGTGGAGTGGCGGAGGTGTTGGAAGGGCACTTGAGCTGCAGTTAGAGAAGGATCCTCTTTGGCATGGTGGGGTCGATGGTGGTGAAGATCCTGTCGCACAGGTGGATGCATTGGGTGATTCCGATGGTGTGACAACCGGAGAGGTCGACCATCTGCTGAGCGGTTAGACCCTAAGAAGCAAAGACACTTACGAGCTCCTGGCTCGTGAAGGTAGCAGGAGGCAGGTTCAGCGGGGGATCCGAAACATTCGAGACGCTGCCGTCCATACGTCCCGCGGGGACCTCCCAGCCTTTTCCTTTGGTCAAGATCACGGTGTCGCGAGAAGCGAATGCGAGGATGTCAGCGCATGATACCACTCCAGGACAGGCTTCCTAGACGGCGGCCTTGGCTGCGTCGAAGGCTTCAAAGCCATGGATCCCGACATTCTGTACGGCAGCTCTCTCTGTGTCGTTTCCTGCCAACAGGATGGAGGCGTCGCAGCCCTGCAGCCATCAAGAGATTCATTAAAGCAATGTTACAGTTTTCTCTGAATCGGGCTTGACTCGATGTCCGCCATCGAAAAAGACATGAAACATATCAGTATTAACTAGTATCAGAAAGATTCACAAAATTCGATTCATGAGCCTAATCCCCATATGTGAATTCAGGTTATTACCGCTGCAATGTATGTTGTGCAGCCACGATGATTCGAAATGCGCCCCACGTACGAAAAGATTGAAACATGTAAAACTAATTTAAGCTCAATCTTTGCAATGCGCCGCGGCACAGTATTGTATCAAGAGCAACCGACAGGTTATAGAAATGATCAGTTGCCTACGTACCCGAACGAAGCAGTCATGGAAGATGAGACGGAGAATTCCGAGTGCAACTGTGTTCTTCTCGTACGCTTTCTGAATTTCCTTGAACACGATTTGCTTCGCATTGGGACACGAATGGTCGTAGAAGCCGTACCTCACCGTGGCATCTACCCCACTCATCACCAGTGCTACGACTAGTACTAAAGCTACAAGAGAAGACCTCATCTTCTTGTGCGCCATCCTGCACTATCTGCTCAGTGCGAAATCCCACCGGCAGCCTGCAGCTGGCTGAAAGATGGATCTCCAAATGGCGGGATCAGCACAATAAAAAGGACTGAACAAGTGAATGAATTACTAATGGAGCCTGAGTGCTGGTTTATATGCTTCGATCGGAGAGGACGCAACCTCTCCCAAAAGAATGGGAGCTGCCCCGAGTGGAACTCACGAGTGAAGCTGCCCGTGTCGATCTACCAATTGCAGGGTCTGTTTTTGAGCTTGCCTTCGAAGCTGTCTTTACGCTACGTTTAGCACGCAGTACAATTTTGGCGCGTTGGCAACAACCATGAAATTCATTCCTTCGCATCTGGCATTACGTTGAAATATCTTCTGTTCCTGAGTCTGCGATACCAATCACCCATCCACTGTATCGTAGGTCGATTTGTTCCACTCCAAGCACAAGTCAACTGATTGGAAAATTTGTTTTTAAATGCACATGCGCTGGGTGTTTGTCTCAGCCAAGGTCAGCGCCCTGTTGTCTATAAGTCCCTGCTTAGATCGCATCCCAGGAACCCTTTCATGGCCGCTGCGACACAGATTCCAGCGCACAGCTTCATCATTTTCACAGCCCTTTTCCACTTGTGGTAATTATTGATGCTAATTTGAGTGCATCTGGAATTTGTCCACCAAACTGAGCAGAAACTCGATGTGATATGCTTTAAAAATTCGTTTCAGATCGAATGTTGCAAGACTCAGTTTCGACGTTCATTTTCCTTGCTTCATATAATTGGCACACTATTTTTGTGTTGCATCAGTTTGCTTTCCCTCATTTTCAAAGGTAATCACGGATTGTTATTGATGTCGGCTTTTCGTTACATTGTTTTATGTTTTGATGTCTTGGAAGGTCATGAATTTATGGAAAAACGTCAGAAAAACAACATTGTGACTTCTCAACTTCGAAATACATTCTCGATATTAAGTCGATAGTTTTTTTGAGTTTTTGACTAATTAAAAGTATGAATTCACTGTTTTCTCACTCGTATAAATTATTTATAACAAGGGATCACTAATGAATAGAAAATAAATATATGTAACATAGTTGCAAGACATTAGCTTCAATCATTCATCCAGTTCACCTATCCATGGGGCAAGTCGCGACAGTCTGTACCGACAGCCGAGATCGCACAAGAATATGTTTTATGGACGCCGTCCCGAAAGAGGGCGATAAATTCGCGACTGTTTTACAACGATGGGAGGGACCTAGACTAATGGCCGAGGATCAAGCAGCTCACGCAGCGTCAAATTATGCAGTACAATAAAACAAATCCAAGGTAGATCGGACCCAGCGTCGGAGACTGTAGGAGACCTGGCTCTAGATCCAACGCCGCTGCAAAGGAAAACGCCGGACATCGATATGGTACCATAGCCCCAACTGCCTGTTTCTCCACAAATGCAAAATTTCGAACTCCAAACTTTTGTACACGCGGACTGTTCACTAATGTCGCAATTTGTTCTTGGCTAGCCTGGCGCTGAGCTGTCGTATGAAAATTTTCCACCCACGCGCAAGGCAGATCGATCTCATTACCCGAAGGAAAGGCCCTTTTTCATCGTGTGGTTGAAGCTCGCTGAAACTATCCGCCAGCTAACACATTGAGCTCATAATCCACTGCGGTTATACTCTAGGAATTGTACAATATATATGCAAAGTAGCAATTATGTATTACATAAAGGGATTATATATTATGTTGTGCCCAAACTCTCCGTCGTTAGCCTTCATCTGAGCTGGCTATGGTGTTCAGTTTGGCTGCGTCCATCTGTAGTCAACATAAACCCTTAGAAATGAAGACAAAGTTGTGGAGTACGTCGAGAATCAAGACGTCGAGGTTGCCGGTTATGAATGTGTACTACCAGATCTGGTAGTACTGCTGATGGAATGTCACTAGTTGACAACAGTGTCATTGCATCACATAGCACAAATAAATAAATAAATTTATATCTATATATATATATATATATATATATATTTTCATACACATGCGAGATGGGATTTCACATGTGAAGGCATCAAAAACCTCAGAAATGAGTTTCAACATATAGTTAAATTCGAAAATGGCGGCAACATGGGAATGATTTGCCTACAGAACAATGAAGCACAATACTGTATTAGAAAGGTAAAGATGAATATACAAACAATAATAATTTGGCAATTAAAAATTCTAATGGGATCTTTGTATATGAACTTATTAATATAACAAGATTTTAGATACATCTTATTCTCCAACAATTCTTTGAGAAAATCCTAATTCTTTCATAATAATATATAAAACCTCTTATAATTTTTTATGATCAATGCTTATAAGTAATTTGGATCTTCATATGTTTTGTGGCTCTATTTGAGAGTTTTATACCATTTAAATATTGAATAATGTCACAATATTATTTGAGTTGTTTAGCAACATTTATAGCCATGACATCCAAATAATTATATCCATCTCAATTACTTGTTCTTAATAAAAAAATAATCCTCACTTGATGTTTAATTTGAAGATTAAGTCCTTGCATCAATAAATAAAATAAAATGAATTATCATTCTTATAATAATTGGTTTATTAAATATATATACATATATATATTGATATTTAATGGTATATAATATTTATTACCTTTTTTTCAAATAAAATCTTTTAAAATCAAATATACGCCTTATAATTATAAGATGAAAAAATTTTAGAATTCCAACTTTTTTCAATAACTATTATTTTAGTGTTGATTTTTTTATTCATTAGCGATGGCAACTTTGCTATATTTTTGTATTTTTTTTAATTCATAAAAAGTCTTTATTATTATGAAATAATTATTTATAAAATATTTATAATTTTAATATATATATTCATCTTCCTTTAAAGAATTTAAATTCTAAATATAATTTATAGAATTTTTTATAATTAGATTATCTTTATATTCTTTTCTATCACTTTTAAGTAATATTTATGTTATTCTTATCTATTATATTACATCTTTTATACAAGTTTGTTATAAATCTAATTTTTTGGTTGGATTAAATTAATATTAGAAATTAAATTTATTTTAGTTAATACTTCTATTAATTCTTTTATCTTTGGAGTTCTTTCTAAAAGTCTTATTTCAAGCTTCATTAGTTATTACAAATCATAATTTTAATTAGAAAGAAACCTCTTTTAAACTCTTAATTTAATTTCTAAACTTTATTAATTTTATTTTGTGGTTTTTATTTTTATTTATAAATCTAAAGTCTTTTTACACTTCATTTATTATTATAGCTATAAAAATAAGACAATAATAAAATATCTAAGATTTAATACTTGAAAAAATAAAATTAATTATAATATGCCTTTAAATTTTAAAACTTTGAGAAATCTTAATAAATAAATTTTATAATTTGTTATTGTATTCTTATCAAAGATACACATATTTACTTAGATTAAAGAAATTAGATAGAAGTAAGTAAATTTGATATTATCTTATGGACAAGTGGCATAGATACAAGCTTGACTTTTAATGTATTTTTAAGTGATTGGTAGATTAAAAACTTGGCAAAAAAATTGATTAGGTATTGTACATGTTGGCCACTCATAGTATAAGTTGTCATGGACATACGCATGTAAGCCAATAATTACATGTATAAATGGGTAGAAGTAAGTAAAAGTAGGTAAAAGTAAGTTAATTCTATAATATTTGCTATGAAAGCTTCCTAGAAGGTTAATAGATGTTGCTTTGACTTTATAGGTGTCTTCAATTGACTTTTTAGATTAGAAACGTGGTCAACAAGTTGGCCATATGCCACACATGTTGTTAGCTTAAAGACCAAGCTAACTATGTGGCCCACACGTAGAAAAACTTGCCTTGTAAGTCAAGGCATATATCCTACAAAGTCAACACATATTGGAGGTCCTATAGAACATCGCCACGTAGCTCCTAGTTAGATAGTATATATAGAGACAAGAGTGAAGCCTTCTTCACTCTTATCAACTCTTTTCTTGCTTCTAGTCTAGTTTCAAGGGTCTCTAGTTTTTTGTCTTATGGCAATAGCCATTCTAGTTTCTTTCTTAATATACATATTGGATTATTTCTATTTTTTCATCTTTCTTTGACAAAAGTCTCACTTGTTTATTTGTCTTTATCAAGTTTTTATCCTTGACATAAGTTGACAATGTAGTGCACATATAAGAAACTTTTCTTACAAATTAGATTCATGTTTTGCAAGTTGGACACATCTTGGAGGTCCTATAGAATATTGCCTTGTAGCTTCTAATTAGATTGTATATATAGAAGCAATAGTGAGACCTTCTTTATTCTTTTGAAAGTCTTTCTTATTTTTAGTCTTGTTTCAAGTCTCTAATTATTTTATTTTTAATAGTAACTATTCTAATTTTAATATTATATTATCTTTAAGTAAAAATCTACTTTCTTTAATTGACATACAAGTGTATTGATATTTTTATTGTTTATGTTTCATGTCCTTGATAATTTTTAATTTTTTAAAAGTTTCTTATTTCATTTGGCTTAAATCATAAATTAAAATTTTGTATACGTTTATTTATTTATTATAGAATTTATTATAAAAAAATTATTATAATATATATATTATATAATAAAATTATTTTTTAGATTTTTTTTTAATCCATTAAAGTATCTTTATCATTAAAAAGTCGAAAATAAAAGTTATTTATATTTTCTTTATTTAATTTTTAGTATTAATATAATCTTATTTTTATTATTTCAAAAAAAATTTAAAGATTTTTTTTTATTTATTTTTCCAAAACTAAAATAATCATTTTAAGTTACTTTTTATTGTATAAAAAAAATTAAAATAATTCTCCATATATCTTTTTTAAAATTTTTAATAATTTTTTTTATTTAGTTAATATATACATATACATTGCTTATTATGCTTCCATCTTAGTGTATTGCTTATTGTCATAGACATACACATGTAAGCCAATAATTACATATATAAATAAGTAAAAGTAAGTAAAAGTAAGTAAAAGTAAGTTAATTCTATAGTATTTGATATGGAAGCTTCCTAGAAGCTTCATAGACGTTGCTTTGACTTCATAGGTATCTTTAATT